CTTTAGTTCCTGCCGAAAACTCGCTTGGGGTCCGTAAATTTGTTAGTGGCAAAAGATTTGGTCGTGGAATTAAACAAAACAGGCCAAGTATAATGGTATGGAGAAGTAGAAGCTGAAAGTATAATGGTATGGAGAAGTAGAAGCTGAATTCCGAATGACTTCACGCTGAAGGAATCCCAAGGGACCACAGTCAGTCCCGAATTGGTTCTTGCGCCGCATGCCTGACCTCGCTTGTAATGGCCGTCTATATGCGCCGATCAATACATGCTTTCCTAGTCGAGAAGACACCCTGATGCTTTTTTTTTCCGGGCGACACAATCACGTTGTAACTGCGTTTCGCTCACTCAGCGTTTCAAATGCTTTTTCATTACATTTCTTGTTTAGCTCGATATCGAATTTTACCTTGTCCATTGAAATCAATCTCCATCATAATTGGCTGTTTCAGTTGAATCTCGAGTGTCCACGATGGGTCGTAAAAAGAAGAAGGTCGAGAAGCCTTGGTGCTGGTGAGCTTTACTTTTCTCGACAAAAAGTTCCAGTTCTCTACACCCACATTTTCGACCCTTCCCCTTCATCCCTCTTAGTCAAAGTCTAATAGGGCATTCGCTGTTTAGTGAATGCATATATTTTTTGTAAAAAACCAGTCCTGAAGATATGAACGGGTACAAGTCGGAAAGAAAGAAGGAGTATCATGGAGGGTCGCCATACGGCTTTGCACGGTGAAATGGCATTTTGAATGCAGTTAATATCAACATATTCGTTATAAGAAGTATGAGCGCAGCCTAAGGCTGCGTTCCTACCGTGCGACCTCGTCGTCAACATCGAACCCGACGTTTTCAGCGACTACTTCACGAAGATTAGATACCTATCGATCCGACGAAACGGACGAAAGCTGCGTATCCGACGAAAGTTGCGTGACCAACGTCAGTCGATACGTATCTAATCTTCTGTCGTCGGTTACGTCGTTACGTCGACGACGACGTCGCACGGTTTGAACGCAGCCTAACGACTTTCGTATCAAGTCGTTAGGTTGCGTTCACACTTTGCGTCAGATCTACCCTGTCGAGCGTACGCCAGCGCCAGCGACTAGGACAGAGTAGTTGCAGTTGTACGGTGCGAATGCACATGCCGCAACTTCGCGACGCCTAATCCAGTTGTCTGCTACCCTCGTCTTTCCCCATACTCTCCATTCTTGGAGGCTTGCTGTATACTGGCAAACGCAGGTGGACGGTGGTGGACGCTCGCTTACTCAAATGCTTTCATGAAGGGAGCCTTATGCCCCGTCCTTGTCTTGAAGAAACACTGTTACTTTTTAGGTGTGCACAATTATCTTCAGGTACTGCAATCGAGAGTTCGAT